ACGAATAGCGCTAATAACGGTGCACCGAAAAAGCCCGGAAACTGCACACCCACCGGAACACCCGCATCCCCCTCCGGTCCAGCATGAACCTGACTGGCCTCTCCAGCCCTGTCAGAACCACCAATCCCTGTGTATGCTGAGTTCACAGGCCCTGTAAGAGATGGCCTGTTCCGCCTTCCTCTCTCTCTATCACTGTTTGAACCTGTATAAAGCTACGCTGTTTTATTACACCGACTATCTACCTTTGCCCCCACTCGACGTTCCTATCCATACTTGTACTCCTTCCATTCATGCCTGGTGTCCTCTGTCGTTTCCCGCACTTTCTGAGCGTTTTCCCCCGGTTGGTCACGTTTTCCGCGTGACTTCTTGTCCCATGCAAATATCTCATTTACTCACCTGTGGTTGTTCACTCACTGCTACACACAAACAATGAACCTGTTTCCAGAAATTGTTTGACTTTTTCACAACTCGTATACGCTGCTCCGTCGTGCTCTCCCGGATATTGCCCACCCTCGCTCTGCCTCTTTTCATAACTCTTTCGCGTACGTGCACCCAGCGAGAGTTGTGTCCCTTTCTGGTTCATGCACCCCGCAGCCATTGAAGGTGTGTGTGTAGTTCTGATTACGGTGCCGGTGTGTTTATTTGGTTTCCACGCGTATCGTGTTAACCCTCCTCGCCCGTGACCTACTTGAAAACCCCTTAATCTGCCTATCGCGTCATTCTGTCCATGATCTGCCCCCTCTTATTTCTGCCACGGAGAACATTATGCCACATCCTCCTTGCCCGTTTACATCCTTGATCCATCGGTCACCTTTTACTTCATCACCACCAACGCGCCGTCCGGTTCGATTCTTCTTGCGACCTCGAACTAGCGACTGAGGACACGAATTCCTGTAGATTGTTACCTCCAAAACCCCCTCTTTCCGAGTGTGGTCGGTTTTTCGACCGGTCTGTTTGGTCACTCACGGCCCATTTACTGTGTCAGCGACCAAATGATCGTCGTCCTCCGCCCCAACCCTTCCCACTTCCTCCCGTCCGTCCGTCCAATCCTAATCTCACATCACTCTGTGTAATAAATTCGGATGGTTTATGAGTAAGTACGCGTTCACCAGTTTTAATTTACTTTACGTCGGCTGACCTCTGAGACAAGATAAGCCAACTTCACTAATGTCGGAAATTGCGGATGCTCACACTCGTTGGTCGACGGCAACATCTGCACAGAATACGCTTCAGCCTAACTTGCATTATCGAATATCTCATCTGTAGTTTAGACTAAGATGTTCTGCGTCCTCGCTCACGGTGTCTAACCGAATTTTCATCTGTTCACAGCATCATTGCGGGAAAGGAGACGCTGCCAAGGCAGCTTTGGTCAGCTCATTGTCTGAGTTACGTGGTGCGTGGCCGAACCATTCCGGTAGTTGCCACTGTTTAGTCCTGCAAAGTTGTTTGGGTTTAAAACCGGTTTTTGAGTTCTTCATTTGGGATCTGACCTCTGCGTCGGACTGTCAGAATTATTCTTAGGTACCCCTGATAGGAGCGTCCATTCTAAGTGGCTAATTTTCGCAGCTATACAGCTAGATGAGACGGACTGCTTGCAGTTTTGTTCCTTAGGCTGATTTCGTTTCTACCCTTTGAGGAATTCTTTAGCTGTCGAAATGCTTCTGATGCGCTGTTGTGTCTCATCTTTAGCTTGACCGTTGGTCAATGTGGTTGGGCCCAGGTATTTAAATATTTCGATCGGCTTGCTGTTTAATTGTGAAGTGTATTCGGGATGAATTGGTTTTGGATTTTTTCACCTCTAGGTTGATCTCCGAGGCCTGTCGACTGATAACGCTGCCGATTTCTTTGGGGTCGGTCATCAAAGATGAAGATATCATCAACGAGCTATAAATTCGCGGGCCAGAAGTTCGGAGACATTTGAATCCCCTAGTACCGTCTCCCGACTCGACTGAGGCTTTCGGAGACTGCGGTTACTGTTCGGTTTACTGAATAGTCTGTGAGTCGAGCTACTGCAACCTCAGGAAACTAAAGCATTATTAACCTTACAACATGAAGCAAATGCCACTTCATATTGTCCAGACGTTTCATCGTAGCTGTGATAGAGCCAGTATTAACTATCGACAACAGGAATTTCGATCCTGCTACCGTAATTCCAGATAAGCATGTGATGTCCAGCTGATAGTCATGCAGCTCGCGTATCGTTAGCACCTGACTCCCGGCATCTCAGGAGGTTCTAACGTTCAAACTTCTAATATAAGATGTCTTTGATACTTTAAAGTGTTTAGTAAGCAATCTTATCCCAATGGTCACTGAATAAGCATGAGTCGCATTGGTTCCCGGGAGGCATCGTAGCATGATTATTGAGACAATTTAGGTTACCATCCATGAAAGTTCTCCTGAATTAGGTATAAGAGATGCCCCCGGATTTTAGTCGAGACTACATCTCGAACATTGCACATCTATGTGCTAATTGTGGCTGCCGTTAGCCTCCGCAGCTCCATCTGCTGCTCTGGAAGTTACACTTAAATGAGTTGTGTTTAGAGGTCGAATGAAACAAAATTTAAAATAATGCAGGGTCATTACTTGTTATCTCAATGGGCCATTTTGACAGGTCACAGTTGCTGTATTCCACCACCACTGGCGTGCGATCGGTTTCTTCTGTCCAATTTTGCACTAAAGTATAACAAGAATATCCTTGTTTGGGCTAAGGAACACGAGCAATATCAACCGTTTTAAACCACCTAATGATGGAGGTGATTCGCTATCTCTCGTTTTTTCCTTCCAATTGGAAAGTGCTCCGAAGTTGACAAACGTGTTCTGACAATCATTGCTACGCAATAATCGAAAGTAATCGTTGATAAGAGAGAGTAAACCACCTCTGGCGTTGACGTTAGAAGGGAGATTGTTGTTGCCGTAACAACAACCACACAGGTGTTCACTTGTCTTAGGCATCTGTGTTTATTACAGCTCGTTCCTTTGGACGGATAGGATAACTTCGTTTATGTCTGATTGTTTCCGCCTATACTTGGCGGATGACTGCAAAATCCGTACAAATTTTGATGGTTGCTGTGTCATTTGAAGAGCGATACATCTTACATTGATTTGTGATTTCCTGTCACACCGATCAAACTAGTGCAAAAGTACTACAAATCAAAAGGCGCACTGTGAAAAATAACAAGGACCCATTACAGCTTCATCATTTAGCTTGGACGAATGAATGTTTGTAGAACTGCTTCAGAAGAAGCCAATACCTTATCACACTTCTTGATCCATCGGCAGTTTCGTTCTTATTATCCGCTGTATCTCACGGATGGACGGTCCCTCCCCCACCAGATTTTCGTGGTCTCAGGGCGGGCGTTCTCGACAAAATTGATCATGTACGTATTGAAACGACATGCACTAGACAAATTACGTGTCCAACTTGACAGACGGAGCTGACGGTGAACCTGTTTCGTCTTTCCAGTCGTGTGAACACATGGCCCACAGGTGTATGAGCCCCGGGGTTACAGTTGGGTTAGAGACACGAAGGTGCATTTGCCGGATTTATTCACGAATTTTGGTGTCACGGCATTCAGCGTATCTTCATACTGTTATCGCTCCCTTTCTATTCTTTCATCCAAATCGTTAGGGCGGAAGGCAGCAACTAGAAGCGCCGTGAAAAAGTTCAAGGTCAACGGATGTATCATCGGAACTGATAAACAGGTCGATCTTTATTTTTACTTTAACAAGGTCTTGCTTATGCCATACAAGATCAGCATACGGATAATGGTGGTCTCGGTTCGGGGGGCAATGGGTGCGTGGACACGGTAATTACCATGATATGAAGATTGCCCGGCTTGGGTTCGGTAAACCACTACCTCAGGCAGTTTGTGTATTCATTATTGGCATCACAATGGGTATTGTTAGTGTATGCATAGTGCCAGGAGCTTGTTTACCAAACCTCCAACCTGGCTTGTCACTTCCATATTTTAATTTGCTGCAGAATCGGGACTGTGATAGATGTCAGTCTTCATCAGTGTACAACCTCGCAATATCCATATACATCTCATCCTGTGAATAACGATGCCAATTTCAATTTGCGAAGTTTATGCAGACCGATTTGTCTGTGTTATTCGCAGGACCACATCTAAGCGATAGTGTCAATTTTTCAATTAGTGGGAGGATTCGATTCGATTGTATGATGATTTTTATCGGGTATAGAGTAAACTGAAAAGCTAAGAATCATCACAGCTGTTTCGACCTGGTTGGGTCTCTTCAGCAGCGACAATCTAACATCCTACTACTCTCATGTAAAAAGTAGTTAGGTTCGGAATGTATTCAGCCGGGTGATCCATCACCCTGGAGACTAATGCTAAGATGAGCGAGGTGTCCTGCTCGCCATAGGCTTGCGAAGATGGATTGTACTATGCTATCGTGTACATTCAAAAATAGGAGAGGTCTGATTAGTTACTCAGTGGTCTAGCAGGTAGTATGTTGA